GTTTGTTCACTAGACGGACGGACATACGGACGGACAGATAGACCTACGACTGGCCACACGGGTGGACGGACGGACGCACGGAGGAGTTTAGTTCTTAGAATGTCCGCTAGATGGCGGTACTTGTACACAAACAATACATGATGAAACGATGCGAGATTATGATACTTGGAGTGTTCACTAAACAGACGGACATACAGACAGACGCACGGACGGACAGATGGACCCATGAATGGCCGCACGGACGGACGCACGTACGGACGAACGGAAGCAGGAACGAACGAACGGACAGAAGCAATGGATGAACTAATGGACGATTCACCCTACTCATCATCATTCACTCCGTGGATATGCTGTGATTTTTATACCTTTCACTTCATGGTGTCTTCACTTGTGAAAACAATCCAGTGAACTCTAAAGAAATGGCAAAAAACGTATCCCATAAAATGTATAGTTAGTCATCTGCATCTCCCAAATTGGTCGTGCTCTGCATCTTCATAACCATGTATAACACCGAAACATCCACTGCAGTATTTATGGACAATGTTTAACGGAAGGTTTTGTGATGCATCGAAAGCTGTAACTCTAGCTTTAACGTTACTGCTACTATAAAAAGTTTGTTAACGTCAAGATGTCGTGATGGGACAATTTGTGGTTATTTATTTCAAATGTCAGTAGCTTTAGTCCTATCATCTCTGGGCTGATGATGCAACGCGTGAAGAATCTTTCTCAGGTATTGTTTTTGTTGATGCATAATTGGTCAAGAGTTGATATCAGTGTTCAGTTGTCGACACAATTTCCTCCATAAGGCTAATATTATTGATTTAAATCTTGCTTGATGTGCCATAAAGTTTAAAGAATTTTAAAATTTTAAGAAATTAAAATTTAAAAATTTTAAGAATCCGTTCAGTGCGAGTGGAGTTACAAAGGTTTGTCGCATGCTGCAATTGCATTCTCTCTTCTCTCGTCTTGACGAAAGCGCTGGAAGCGAAGCAGGGAGAGATGGCAGGGCCACAGAAAAAAAAGTCACAGCGTATCCAGGGGTAAATGATGACGAGTGGGCGAAGCTCCGGAGAGAATCATCAGTAAAACCGCGAATCTTCCGTGTGTAATTCACCCAGGAGATCATGATCTAAAGACATCATGAGAAACACCACGTGTGTAATATAGAAATCAACTTTTATTTGTGCTTAGAGACGATGGATGGCTTGAGATGTCCCTTCATCATGGCGGCTTTATGGTCCGTGAAATTAAGGGTGAGCGGTTCCTGTATGGGTTGCAGTGGAAAATTTGCAAATACTAGGTCAATGCATGTTCCTCGGATCGTGGTTGGTTTCATATGGTCATACGATATACACCTGAGTGCATATCTAGAAGCCACATGTTGGATAAGCCAATTATTGGTCGTGTCTGCGATATCAACGTTGAAATCACCAACGAGTATGGATGGTGCATTCTTGCGCTAGAGTGAGTATGTGTCACCAGTGGCTACGTAAATCCCCAAACAACAAACACCATGGGATGTACAGACCCACGCCTTAAAGAGCTTCGCCCCTAAAACGTCATGCGCGCTTTGCGACCATGAGCACTTTTTTTTCTTCGAATGCGCGGCTTTGTCAGTGTGATCGCGTGTGCGCAAGTAGCGGCCTCCCGTGGCGATATCTGTAACGAGCGAGCGCGCCATATTAAAATCAGCCAATGGCTGATAGATGGGTCGTTGACATGTGATTTTTGGGCCTGTAACGGGATTTTTAGGGAACAGAATTTATAGCTGACTTCGATAATTTATCGTGAATTCCAGGCCACGTGCTGTGCTATAATATTTGGCTCGCGTGTTGTCGGGAGCCTCTACTACTGATTGGCAGCGTTTTCTAACCATGCTCAAAAAGTGTTGCAGGGCCCCTTTAAAACTTTCCTAGATTTTCAGTGAGTTGACGACGAGTGGATTTTCGCCAAACTTTTGTCAGTTTTTGACAATTTTTGGCGTGCAGTGATGCCAGCAGAATTCATGCATCAATTAACCGAATTTATATACTGGTATGACTGTATGGAGCAAGTTGCTCCCCAAAGGAGTATAGAATGTCATACTGCGCACCCATAGTGGAAACTTTTCTTTTGGTACGTTTGACATCTGCGCGAGGTGTGAATAACCACACCTGGCTAGACATCGCTAAACTCCAACTATTTTCCAAGGTATGAAGTTTGTTAATTTTTTTGTTCATAATAATCTAACATAACATTTTATCCCAGGCTGTGCATTCCAAAGGGGTACAGTTACACAACTGTTTGGGCTTCATTGACAGGACAGCACGAGCCATTCGCCGTCCACCGAAGGACCAGAAATGGTCCTTATCAGCGCAGAAGCGTATTCACGCCCTTAAATATCAGTCCATCATGCGCCTTAATGAAATCGTTTGCCAACTGAACGGTCCATATGATGGCAGCCAACATAACACAGACAAGTTAGTTTTGTTATACGAAGCCCTATCCTACTTTAACAACATTAAAAAAAGCATCATCGCACCTATCTGAGGGAATGCTCTGTGCTACTTGAGCAAACAAGCTATCACTTTTTAATAATGTTGTGAAGTAGACTCAATCTGGGACAACTAATTGTGGTTACAGCAAAAAGCAGCATATCATTTATTTGATTTTTTTATTTATTTGATACTGTCAACCCCATGCTTGGGGTCATTACATGGAGGGTGTCACAAAGTACATAGCGTTCGCACAAAAAAGAAAAATTCAAAAACACATATAAATACGAGATGAATCACCAACCATAAAAAATAAGAAACAAACAACAGTGACTACACACATAAAAATCTACGAATAAATGCTGACAACAGAATTTAGCACGCATCACTACAAAGAAAACCGTCCAATGCATTTTCGAAATCCACTGATGTTGTTTGTTGCACAACCGCATTGAGTAAACTATTCCACATATCTATTGTGTCTGGGAAAAAGGAATGTCGGAAAGCATTCGTGCGTGTGAAATAAGGTTGAATTGCTCTACTATTATTAAGACGATCACATCGCCTTCCAGGGGACTGAATATATAAATCCTTATTTATCTTTGTTTGCCCGCTTATAATCTTAAAAACAAATTTGAGGCGATGTTTTCGCCTGCGATATTCCAAATACTCAAGCTCACATGACTTTAACAAAGCTGTGACTGAGTGTGTGCGTCGGTATCCAACGCATATGAAACGGACTGCTAATTTTTGTATTCTATCAATTTCTGTACACAACACCTTCTAGTGAGGCGACCATACAATACTAGCGTACTCTAAGACAGGACGTATGAATGTTTTGTAAGCAGTTAGTTTTACATCTGGTGTGGCATGTTCGTTTTTTTTAAGGAAATACAGTTTTTTGTTTGCCTTAGAACAGATGTTATCTATATGCGAGTGCCATTTCAATGTGTGCATAATACTAACTCCTAGGTATTTGAAACAATCGGCATTATTTAAAGGGTGACTTCCGATGTGATACATGAATGACAATTCCCGCCCACTAGGTGAATATGCGTAAATGTCGTCTTGCTATAGTTTACTTCCATGTCCCATATTATACACCACTGATCTAATGCCTGTAAGCACCTGTTCAGATTAATTTGGTCACCTTTGCAAGTAACTGGGGAATAAATCAAGCAGTCATCTGCAAAAAGTTTCATTTTAATGGGAGCCTCAACTATTGAACATAAATCATTAACAAATATCAGAAAAAGAATTGGTCCTAAAACAGATCCTTGGGGAACGCCCGAGTACAAGGCCAGTAGTCTTGAAGTGTAATTTTCAATTTTTACAGCCTGTTGACGTGTGGATAAATGGGCCTCTATCCATTTTAATACTTCTTCACTTATTCCTGATCTTTCAAGCTTGACAAGTAATTTACAATGAGAGACCTTATCAAAGGCTTTCCTAAAATCGGCACAAATTACATCAGTCTGCAGAAGGGCATTGCTGTTTCACTTGAAACCATGGAGCGTTTCGGCTAATTGTGTCACAGTAGAAAGACCACGCTGAAACCCATGTTGGCTTGTGCAAAGTAACTGGTTAGAATCAAGAAAACTAAGAATATGTTTTGCTAATACATGTTCCAGAACTTTACAGCAAACTGAAGCGAAGGATATGAGCCGGTAATTGTTTACTAACGAGCGGTTACCGTTTTTAAAAATCGGAATTACAACTGCATTGCGCCAGTCTTGTGGAAGTGATCGCGTCTCAACTGATTTCACAAATATTATTTCTAAATAAAACGAGACCCATTCTGCGTATCTCTTGAGATATTTTATTATTGTAATCGCATGGTATTGCAAAGAGAACCTGAAAGAATTGTGAACTCTTATTTCGAGAATTAGATGCAAGGTAAAATGAGAAATGCGTGCCCCAGTTATTATTATAATGCTGTGGCCCAGTTTTATTTGCTACTCTGCAACACGTCTTCAGTTATAACTCATGTCACAGATAATGCCATGCAGGTTCTATCTACACTACACAGTCGTCTCAAGATTTGTGTAAATTTACTGGGAAGTGGCAAGAATTTTATGAAGCATTCAGTGACATATATCATGTGGCAAAATGTTTTCATGTGCTCCTGTATTTTCAGTATCCCCCGAAAGAGCAACACCTATCGCAAGCTAGAAAAGCTTGTCATAGGCCACAGCTTTTGTTTTTATGGTGACCCTGCCTATCCACTGCGGCCTCTGCTGCTGAAACCTTACGACGAGAACGTGACTGTGTAGCAGCGGGCTTTGAACAAGAGAATGAGTTCCGGTAGACAAGCAGTCGAATGGGGTTTTGGAAAGATTGCAGGCTTGTTTGCTTTTCTGGATTTTTGTAAAAACCAGAGACTCAAACGGCAGAATGTGTCACACATGTACAAAGTCGGCGCAATACTTGCTAATTGCCACACTTGTATGTACGGCTCAAAGGTATTTCAATACTTTGAAGTTGAACTTCCACCGCTGGAAGAATATTTGAGACCAAAGAACTGAGCTGCTTCCTCTGACACTGTCTTTATTTGTGTAGGCAGGTAATTTTTTTTTCTAATTCTTCGAGCTTGTTGCTTAATCCATGCAGAATTTCAGAGGTCGCATTGTGCCGCTGAGCCTCCATTCTCAGTTGCTCTTCATCCAACGCCACTTTTCGTTCTTCCAGTGCCATGCGTCGTTCCTCCTGGTCAAGCCGTCGGTGTTGCAGCTCTATTTCTTTTTTGCCGGACAAGAAACTCATTATCTTCTCTTTTAAGAAGGTGCTGAAGTCCAAGGGCCCGGAGGCCTCTGATTCCTATAAAATGAAGTAGAACACAAATGACATACTTCTGAATTGCTGCAGCTGATAACTAATTTACTCTGAGATCAGCACCATCTTATCACACTTGGGTATGATGAATGCCAAGCCTCAAATTTGCATTGAAAAAAAAAAATCAAGCAAAGGAATCATATGTAGCACATGTATGTTAATTCAATGCAACGAGAGCTATGCATCATCTGGTGCAACTTGAAAAATCATGCAAGTTTGATTTGCAATACCTGTCAGAACAGCAGAATGTGGGTATTTTCTGCCGTTCCGGCACACGAAGAGGCCCTTGAGCGTCATGGTCAGCGTTGGGCTCTTGAGCGTCATGATCAGCGTCACTGTCCTCCATATTCCCTGCTTCTGAGGTATCCTGTGCTACAAGAGCATGAATGATCAACAGAAATTAGGCACTGAGCATATTAGCTAAAATATCTCTCTTTAATTATTGTTTTGTAGTATTTTGCATAACAATGATTACACGCTGCAACTTGTGTTGCAGCCTCATGCATAAACACTTTCATGTGCGAATTTCTGCTAGTAGCAGTCTTAAAGAATATACATTAGCATAGTAGTAAGGGTTCACTTGCTTAAGCGTTTTTCGCCCTATGAATATAAAAGAATATGGTTTGTTTAACGTGCACTGCTGTACATGTTGTGTATGAGTAAATAAAAAAAATATTTTGCATCCAATGTACTTTGCACATATCTAGTGCAGAAGCCGGCACACCCTGTGCAGCAGCCGGACCTCTCCAGCTGGGCTGGTTGTGCTGCTGTCGCGTCACCTCTATGTGGTGGCTCACTGAGGTCATCCTCATAGGTTGACAACAGCAAATCGGTTGCTGTTGCCTCATCTTTTTCGGCTCGACCGACAAAACAAACGTGGTGGTGGTGTCATGACAGCCGCCCATAACAGCGTGCAGTACACCATAGTTGATGTACCCTATCCATAAGAAAACCTTTTTGTGCATTGCCAAGCGTCTAATCCACCTGTTGTAATCGGAGTGTGTTACTGCCCACCTGATGCAAATGCATTTTTCACAAATCACTTCCATGATGCGATCTATTCTGTCCCAACTGCTTTTCCAAACGCCCCATTTATTTTATTTGGTGATTTCAATTTCCCCGGAATAACATGGTAAAATGTAGCACTAACTGCATCAAAACACAACGCTGAAACTGAATTTCTAAACTTTTGTTTAATATTCGGCCTATCACAACTTATCTCTAAACCTACTCGACAAACAGAACACTCATACACCGTTCTAGACCTACTGCTTGCGTCTCATCCCCATAATATTAGTACCGTGTCATATTTATCTGCCATTAACAATCCCTCTGTTCATCACACAACCTTTCAGTGCTACTTACCAAATCCCAAGAAAATAAAGAAAAAAATCCTAAACAGTTCTGCAAAACAATTAACCCATCATCTATTGCCCCTTCATCGAACATTACACTACGAGATAAACAAAATGTTTCAATTCCTGAACACAATACTGCGCAAGTATTGAATGAAACCTTCTGTTCTGTATTCACCATAGAACCACATGGTGACCTTCCCCATGCCCTTTCTGTATGCCACCCGACAATGTCCAAAATTATATTTCATGTCAATGGTATTTCCAAAATCATCGACTCATTAAAGCTCACTTCATCAACAAGTATAGATGGCAATAACATAAAAATATTGAAGAACACTAAACTTGTAACAAGTGTGATTTTATCTCACATTTTCCAGCAATCACTCTCATCTGGAGTGGTGCCCCAAGACTGGAAGATAGGCAAGGTCATTCCAATCCCAAAGAAAGGTAACTCGCACTCACCCCAAAACTATCATCCCATTTCGCTCACAAGTGTATGCTCTAAAATAATGGAACACGTAATTTATTACCACATAGTCAACTTTCTTGCACCTCTTCATTTTTTTTCATAAAAACCAACATGGCTTTCAGAAAGGTGTTTCATGCGAAACTCAACTAGCTCTGTTTACTAACGATGTTAGCTCTAGCATTGATGTAAATATACCTGTAGACGCACTCTTTTTAGAGTTTGAGAAAGCTTTTGACAAAGTTCCTCATAAACGCTTGTTCCTAAAACTTTCCTGTCTGAAAACTCACCCATTAGTTTTTCGTTGGATTTGTGATTTTTTAACTAACTGCCAGCAGTTCGTTTACGCTAATAATCTTTCTTCGTCTTTACGTCGTCATTTCAGGTGTGCCTCAAGGCACGGTTCTAGGACCTTGGACCTTTGCTTTTTCTCATATATATTAACGACTTGCCGAATAATATTTCCTCTAACATCAGACTTTTCGCCGATGATTGTGTCATTTATCGCCCAGTTAATAACACATCAGATGATCATGAACATCAATCTGACCTTCATAAGACTGAAATCTGGTGCAAAACATGGTTCATGTCCCTTAACGCAAACAAAATGTCCCTAGTCTCTTTTTATCGTCGACAGTACTACCCATCTCCTGCATACTTCATCAACAACTCTCAAATTTCATGTGTAACTAAATACAAATATCTAGGTGTCCATTTTTGTTCTGATTTAACATGGTCTCTTCACATATCATACATTACCAACGAAGCAAATCGTGCTCTTGACTGTCTGCACCGAAACCTCCATCTAGTTCCTACTTCTGTCAAACTACTCGCTCATCAGACAGTAATCAGAACAAAACTTGAGTATGCATGTGCTATTTGGGACCCTCATCAGAGTTAAAATACTAAAACACTTGAAACAGTGCAAAGCCGTGCGGCAAGATTCATCTTTTCAGATAATTCATATCAGTCAAGCGTAACCGAACTTAAATCTCGTGCTAACCTCGCCACCCTTTCATCACGCCGCTGTGTTGCTTGTCTGTGCCTGTTCTTCAAGTTCTATCATGGATCACATCGTACTCCCATCATCAAGCCAGCCCATCGTCATTCAGACCGCATAAATCATGGAAAAGCTGTTTACCCGCCAAGTGCTCACACCACTGCGCACCTTTCATCCTTTTTTGTCACGACCGCACAAGATTAGAATGGCCTTCCTCCTCACGATGTACAGTACTCCAGTATCATCAACTTTAAAGCAGCGCTCGAACATCTACCCTTTTAATCCATTGTAATAGCCCACCCCTCATGTAAAACCCCTTCATTGGGTCCTTTGAGGTATTGTAAATAAATAAAAAAATCTGCACATGAGAAAACGAGGCACATTAGTGAGAATGTCATTAATAATACTAAAGGACCCCTGTAGCAGAAATTCACACAAAATAAAAACTAACTTCCTTCCCCATAACTGTTAAAATACATTTTTGTTTTTGCATTAATGAGTTAATTCACAAATATGTATGCTGAAGTTATGCAAGAAATTCAACAAGTTGAAACAAAGCATTATATTATGTTTAAATTCAGTCATTTCTAACTGTGTGCAGATTAAGTACATCACACATCTATAACGTGAGGTTGTCTGGGATATTGACTGCCTGAGGATCAATGCCATATAACGAAAAGGCACAGTGGCCAGCATATAACTGAATAACGTAATATTTAAAGTGAAAATTTTCCAGCTAAGTAACCTGTCTGACCACTCTGTCACAACAATTCATTATGTGAACACTGCCAATGAAATGCATGCCACCGATCCCCATTCTGAAATCGCTAAGGTGAACACTTGACAGATTTCACAGTACAAGTTGAGGTGGTAGGTTGCTGTTGGCGTCCATTCCTGATTACTTGCCATTTTACTGTCCGTCGTCTGAGGCCCGGAAAGCGGGTAGAGATGCCATTGCGGCATCCCTAATTAGCAGAGCCTTGGCTCTGCGCGCGTTGGCCGATGCCAATAGTTGAGCGGGCTGTCGCGGCCTCATGCCGTTTTTTTTTTTTTTTTCGGCGCCCCTATGCCGTTTATCTTCCGCGGCGCGGTTCTGGGGGCATAATCGGCCTCCCTCATGAGGTCCGATATATCATGAAGCGATTTCTCCAGCTCTCCGTATTGTTCTTCGGTGCGAGCAATCAAGCACGTTACGCTGCGACTGTCACTTTCATCTACAGCACTTGAACAGCGTTTGCAAGTACAGTAAGCAAGCACTCACTTCCTCAGGTTCGCTGTGTACTGCTGTCGGAAATAGCCGATGAGGAGGTCCACTCGTTCTTTGATGCCGCGAATTGTGAGCTCACGATTTACCGCTGTCATCACATTTCGCAGCACGTCCTCCCACGCAGCGGGATTGCTGAAGGGGGTCAGCACACAACACTTCCTTCAAGAGGCATAAATTTCCATTGGTGCGAAATCGTTTTCGCGGCTTGCGGTGGACAGGTGACGGCGAAGCCGCAGCTACAGTGTACTAGAAGGGGTACACTCTACCGCAGACACCTTTCCTTCCTCCGTGACCGCAGCGCTCTCGGAACCCCAGAGTGAGTGAGTAACAACTTTATTAGTCGAAGGGGTGAGGGGTAAGGGAGGCTAAGCCACGAAGGCTGCCAGGCTGTGCTTCTCGATGACTTCTTCCGCTCGTTTCAGGACCCGTGTCTGGATGTCTATGTCGTTGCTGGAGAGAAGGGCCTCCCATTGTCCCTCGGTGGGGGGTGAGCAAAGGAGGTCGGCGGGCGGGGGATCCTCCGGGCAGCCCCAGAGGATGTGGTTCAACGAGGCAACGTTGCCGCACAGGCAGCAGCGTGGATCGATGGCACCTGGGTGCATGTATGAAAACACGAGGGGGCACGGGAAGGTGCGGGTCTGTAGGCGACGCCAGGCGATCTCGGACCGCTTGGGAAGGCTGCTGTGAGGATGTGAATAGAAATATCCAGAGGCAGCCATCGTAAAAAGAGCGAAGTTGCTGCACGCAGGAGCAACGCCTCCTAGATTTCACGTGCCTGCCGGATGAGCACGAAACGCCAGTCATCTAAGGCGGCGCTGCCTACGTAGGAATAAGGGTTTTTGTACTCGGTTTTTGGAATTAGCAATTTTGGCGTTTGCCACCAATTTCAGAGGATGCCTTGTATTAAAAAAATTGCTTGATGAATGACGGCGTCACTTACGTAGATTTAAGTATAATTACGTTTACGCCTTTTTAGAACTTTTTAACGTTGTTTTGTTGCATACAAGCTCCCCCCCCCCAAAAAAAAAACGTAAAAACTTATTTGAAGACACCCCTACTTGAGTAGCGTCACCACCGTAGTTCCGACGACCACCGCTTCCCACGTGACCGCCGATTATCCGGCCGGGACAAGAAATCTAGGAGGCGTTGGCAGGAGAGAGGGCGCGCGCGTCGTCTCTATTCCGCTTGCGAGAACGGCAGCGACGCACCGCGCTCCGCTTGCTCGTAATCGGACAGTATTCCTCGCTATGGTGGCTAGAAGCATATCCTCGCTCCGGTAGAATTCCTCAGCGAGGGGTGTGCCCGTTTTGTGGCATTATGGATGACCTGGTTCACGTGTTCTCCCAGTGCGCACTATGGCGCACTACCAGCTGCCCTCCATCGAAGGATAGCTAGCTTATTTGGCCACCTAGGTGTTCCTTTCAACACCGTTCGTTTTCTTCATCCCTTGTCGGGACAAGCGGCTAAGCAATACGTGCTTCTGCTTGTTGAGTGCTCCTACCAAGTGTGGGTGGCACGGTGCTGTGCCGTCTTTGACGGCAAGCGACCCGGGCTTCACGAAGTGCTTGCAAAAGTACGGAAGGAGGTCTGGTTCGTTCTCCACAGAGAGTGGCAGCGCGTAGGTGCAAAGAAGTTTTATGAGATGTGGCACCGTCCGGCAGTGATTTTCAGTGAGGCAGGTGGGCAGATAACTATCAACTTTTAATGATGGCTTTCTCTAAGGCTCCACGACTAGGCCTAGTGAGCTGGTCGCCCCCGAGTTTGGTCTGTATGGTCTTTCACCCGAGCTTTGCATGTGCTAAGGTGATCCTGTCGCCTTGTCGGGCTTTACCCGCAAGGTCCGTGTTGGCTACTTCTGCAGGCTCGGCGACTCTAGTCGTCGAGGCGCAAGGTGGCTCCCTTCCTCGAGAAGGACAAAGCCGGCTTTCAGCCGTGCCGGTTTCCGTGGGTACGTTTGGTTTGCGTGCAGCGGCACTGGCCTCTGCACCAAATAGTAGTCCCGGAGACCCCACAGGACGGATTGTGTCTCACTGCGCCCTTGTGGTGAGGAGACGGGCCGTGACCGCAAAGTGCCTCGCGCTGAGCGATAGCCCATCCATCCTGAGGGGGTGTCGTCACAGGCTCTCAGCCGCGCGAAAGTGTGAGGGCACGGGCACTTTGGTTGTGGTGACTGAAGTTACCGCGACCGAGGGCAATCCCGCTGCCACGTTTTTGTCTACGTCCGCTTTGCGTGCAGTGTCGAGAGCCACCGTGCCGAAGGGTAGCCCCTGTGTCAAGTCTCGCTGGGCCCTAGCGGTCAGGAGACGGGCCATGACCGCAGCGCACCCCACGTGCTGCGATAGCCCACCTTTCCAGGGTATGTTCACTTTGCGCGTTGCGCCGGAAGTTGCTTTGCCGAAGGGTAGTCCCTTTGTCGGGCCTCCCTGGCTTGTACGCCGGGAGGCAGGCCGCGTCTGTTGGGCGCCTGGCGCCGAACGGTCGCCCCCTTGCCAGGGCATGGCCGTCGGCCCGAAACAAAACTCCCCCCCCCCCACACGACCCTGGGGGGGGGGAGGCAGTGCCGGGACAGACGTAGGATGATGATGGGTTGATGAGTTAAGTGTGACTCTGGGACAAAGCGCTTCGGCGCCGCGTCTCCTTCCTATCTGACAAAGGCACCCGCTTAGCGGAGGGCGCATGACTCGCGTTCCCGCTCCGCTTAGCTGCTAAACGGAGCGTAAAAACGTCAACTAAAAACCTATGTTAAATGTCTCGCTCCGCTGAAATTCCGGCGTTGGCGTCGTTGGTTTGTAAGCGAAAAATCATCTTGTGCGCGACCGAAAATCGAGAGATTCAATAATAATAATAATAATAATAATAATATAATAATAATAATAATAATAATAATAATAATAATAATAATAATAATAATAATATAATAATAATAATAATAATAATAATAATATAATATTAATAATAATAATAATAAATGTAATATTATTGAATTATAGTAGCCCCGCCACGGTGGTCTAGTGGCTAAGGTACTCGGCTGCTGACCCGCAGGTCGCGGGATCAAATCCCGGCTGTGGCGGCTGCATTTCCGATGGAGGCGGAAATGTTGTAGGCCCGTGTACTCAGATTTGGGTGCACGTTAAAGAACCCCAGGTGGTCTAAATTTCCGGAGCCCTCCACTACGGCGTCTCTCATAATCATATGGTGGTTTTGGGACGTTAAACCCCACAAACAACAACACTGAATTATAGTACACGTAAATCTAGAATTACAAACTACTGACAGCACCTGTTGCTAAATATACGTTAATACTTGCTAAAATATAAGCGCATTTTTTTCGCACTGAAGAAAACGCGATCGCTGTACGCGAAGAGATTGTATCCTTTTGAGAAATGCTACATTTATCAGAAAATAATGGTCGAATTCTGCATCGGAACCCGCTGGTCTTCCTCAACATCGACCGCCAACTTACGCTTAAGAAAACTTGAGGTTCAGGCGTTGCCTGAAGCTTCAATATCGCCCCGCCACGGTGGTCTAGTCTTTACGGCACTCGAATGCTAGCCCGAAGGTCGCGGGATCGAATCCCGGCTGCGGCGACTGAATTTTCGATGGAGGCGAAAGTGTGCGAAGACCATGTCCTTAGGTGCACGTTAAAGAACGCCCCGGTGCTCGAAATTTCCGGAGCCTTACACTACGGCGTTTCTTGTAATCATCTCGTGCTTTAGGGACGTTAAACCCTAGATATCACTATCATCATAGGTTTACATATCCCTCCTTCTTTCCCTCATTCTCATCCTCACATCTCTCCTTATCCCTCTCACTTCTCTTTCCAACCTCTGCCCAACCGCGGTGGCCTAGTGGCTAAGCTACTCGGCTGCGGAAAGCATGTGCTCATTACTTGGTAGGAGAGATATCCCCCCTAGCCAGCCAAATTCTAAAACGGGCTCTCGCTGATCCAGCCCCGAAACGCATCGTATGGGCTCTTGGCCATCAGGGCTTACGAGGTAATGAGGCCGCTGACGCGGCCGCCCGAGCGCTTACCCACCGGGCTCCTCACCTTGGCTCTTATGACTCGGAGGCCAATACACCGCTGCTGCGGTTCAAAGAAATTCTGACCTATTATCGCGACACTCACCGCCTTTACCCGGCTCCTGCAAAGGGGTTGAGTAAGGCGGAAGAGCGAACTCTAAGGCGCCTGCAGACAGGTACTCTACTCTGTCCTGCAATCCTAAAACATTTCGACGCGAACACAGATGGGCGGTGCCCACACTGTGGGGAGACGTGTGATATCTTCCACATGGTATGGGCATGTCCGAAAAATCCCCATCTACCCCCTTCCCCTACCCCTTCCCGAGAGGCATGGGAGACTGCCCTCATCAACTGCTCATCACTAGAGTCTCAATGGGCTCTGGTGAGACGGGCGCGAGTAGGGGCCTCGTCATGCGGTGTCCCGCACTAAGGACGCCGACCATGTAGCGGGGTCATGCTTTGGCCCAGTACCTCTCTCTTTTATATTAAATAGTTTTCATCATCATCATCATCATCGGCTGCTGACCCGCAGGTCACGGAATCGAATTTCGGCGGCAGCTGCTTCAATTTTGATGGAAGCAGAAATATTGTAGGCCCGTGTGCTCAGGTTTGGGTGCACGTTAAAGAATCTCATTTGATCGAAATTTTCAGAGCCGTCCACTACGGCGTCTCTCATAACTATATGGTGGTATCGAGACGTTGAACCCCACATATCAATCAAATCAATCTCTTTCTAACCTCTTTGCTATAGACCCTTTAATTGTTTACAAACACAGGCCCCTGTTGACATCTGGTTGCGGCTACCGATGTTACTCAATAGCATCGGTGGGCAAGAAGAGCTTTAGCAAATAGCCTGATGAAATTCTACACTTTCTTTCCTTTATCGGACAAAATGCATTCAAATAAATGTTCTCGTCAGCTACATGAAAGGTATAAAAAATTCCCTACACACGTTCTTTTTATCTGAAAAACTAAAAAAAAATCATTCCTTATCCTTGAAACAAACTTGAAAACGTGCTTTTAGTTCTACGTTAGGAGCTGGTAAATGACGTCCCTGGAAGTTTTTTTGCGTACAACGCTTGCCGTAATAAAACCGTCTATATTGTACTACGCAAGCCTATGCTTACCCTGCTAGCGTGCCTGGGTAGCCGAGTGGCTAAATGCCGGCCCCCAGATCGTGGGTATAGGGGTACAAATCAGGCTTTGCGAAGAAATCCTTTCACCATAATTTTCGTGACTCTCCTTCTATCTCCTATTTGCGCTCAGTACTCTATCTATCGCGCATCGGAGT